CCAGTTGCCGAACCAGCCTCTCTGGTCCCTGCTCTGAGTCTGAACCCTGCCCAGGGTCCTCCACATCTTCCATGGCAGACTCATATGGTTCCTCACTATCCGAGTCCCAACATACGTGTGTGTGTGTGTGTGTGTGTGTGTGTGTGTATGAGATTTAGTGGCGGCTGAAAGAAAATATTATGTTCTCTACCTTTTTATTTGTATGAAACCTTGGTTTGGAATGATTCTCTAGAGATTATTTTACCTGTCCATTGTTATCCTTATGCATCAATTAAATACCTTCATTCAATTATTGAGATGATATTCATGAAGATTTGAAATAGGAAATAATCCTGCAGTGAGACTGTTTAGGATAGTTCTCATAGTGGACTAGATTTATGTTTCAGTCCTAAAGGGAGCATCAGGTAACTACTGTAAAAAAAGTAAATTTGAGATACATAGTACTTAAATTTTGCAATAAGCGAATTAATTAATTTAAATCTTTTTTTTCTATGTCAGGCAACAATATTTTTATGCAAAATATTTATTTAGCCAACTACTGTACATATTCCTTTTACAAAGAAAATTTTTGTTACTAAAGAAAGGAGAAATAAAATCTGTCTCATAGCTGTTACTTTGTCATTAAACTAGTAGTTAGGTGACACCTTTGTTTGCACATATACATTCAGACATGCAGGTGCTTCGAGAACAACCCCTTTTCTTAAGAGCAATTTATTGCCAGAGACATTATTTGTTTAGATCCTTGGGGACCTTGAATAAACAATAAGCTTTCACTAGAAGGGTGCTAGACAGATGATCTATTTGCATTTCCTTTTATGTTCTTACATATGTCTGTAAAACTGTCAGTTTGAGGGAGCCAGTTTATCAGTGAAAGGATAAGAGAGATAAGCCACTTGGTTTCCACTTGTTTGAAGTAGCTACCACAGTTACTTGCATGTCAGCTTCTGAAAGATCTCTCTTCTCTTAAATGAATAAGAGCCATTTTAAAATGAAAACTCAGCTGGAAGTACATTTAGTACATTTATCTAAATAAGATTTATATGATGTAGTGCTTTGGAAACACTTGCAGAGCAATGCCTAACTGCATTTTTGTGCTTTCACAATCTTTAAACTAATATATTCTTTGAGACTACTGTTTCTATCAGTGCTGAAGTTATAAGGCTTAAATGGTATTTTAATCTGTAGAATCACTTGGATGTTTTTACCCTAAAGAATACAGTCTGAAATCTAAATGTGTTAAGAAATTGGTTGGATTTTTTTAAACATTGTCTCATATACTGTATATAGGAAATGTAAAATTTGAGGTTCAATGTGTGGCATTTTGTATGTATTTAGCTTTAGGTTTTATCTTATTCATATTAAGTTGCACAGTTGTTTTTATTTTTAAATCAACTGACTAATTTTTTAAACATGCACAACGTACAATCCCCCCCCCCCCAACTAGTTAATTACGTTTGGAGTGGAACTGCTAGAGGGAATTGCTTCTCCTTTCTAAGGCAGGCATTAGCCTGAACAGATGTGCTGCACTGCTATTTACATTCTACTGATTCTAGCAGTATGGAAAATGTGATTTGAAGTAGCTTGTGCTGCAATAAAACTTCATTTTATCTGGGCACCAAGCCAAGTTTTTCATCATAAACCAAGCTCTTCAGTTAGTTAGTGGTAACCAAAAACTCTGTTGCTGACTCTGAATGTCCAACATCAGGAGCTGATATCTCAAATAACTTAATATTGTCCTGTTAGATTTATAACTTGCCACATCCCAAAGGATCAGAGTTAGTAGCAACTTAAAAGGAAGAACATTTATTATAACAGATTTTTAGCTTGCGTACTTACTTTTTTTTGGCTCCTGATCTTTGTGATAATTGTTTATTTTTTAAAATATAAATATTAGGGAAAAAGTGATAATTTTCACACACACACACAATACATGCAGTACTGCTATATTTTACTTTCTCCCATTTTTATCATAGATTCTGTATTACAATTTACAATTGCAAATTTCTTATGATGCAGGATACCATAAATAACAATATACCATAGAGGTTTCCATGCAGATATTCATTTTTAAGATAATTAAAATAAAAACAAATACAGAAGTTAAAGAAAAAAACATGGAAAATGTGTGATAAATCTAAAGTTTTTATATTTTGAGATATTCAAAATTTTTGGAACACAATTTAATATTATATCTTTACTTTATTGTAAGGTTATAACGTTACAATAAAATATAATTAGTACACATGAACATGTTTCCTCTGTGGACAACCTTGCAAGACTGACACTGTTTTGCAAGTCTGAAAATGTGTTTCTGCCAGTCACGTTTACAGCCCAAGGGAGGGTCCATTTGAGATGTTTGTCACTCCCACATTCCATCTCCCATTCCTATTCCCATTACCAGAAAACTTTCAGGACCCAGGATTTTTTTGTAATTGTATTGATCTAATGGTATGCATTATTTCTTGCAGAGATAATGTTTCAGCTAAATACATTTTTGATCCTGAATGATATGAAGATTTATTTTAATTAAAAATATTTATTTGTTCATTTATTTTTCTGAGAAGTAGTAGAGGGGGTGGTTGTGCAACAGCTTTAGAGAGAAAACCTTGGAGGAAGTTAATTATCTGGATGATTTTCAGTCTGGTTTCAGACCCAGATATGGACTAGAAATAGCATTGGTCACATTTTTGAATGACCTTTGGCATTGGCAGGATAGTGATCCTCACCCATGTCTCCATCCAGTTGGTTTTTAGCTTTGGTTTAATTTTCCTAATTTTATTTGATTTGTGTTACTTTTTAAAACTTTTTTTATTACATTGTAAGTTGCCCAGAGCCATTGCATCAGTGAGTTGGCAGCACAAAATACAAATAAATAAATAAATAACCTTCAACATTTTTCAGAAAATAAATTTTGTATGCACTCTTTCTTCTGTGTTACCTATTGAAGAAGAAAACAAAAAGAAAGAAAGAGAAAGAAAGAAATATATATAGAGAGACTTTAGGATTAGTATCTGTATCTCAGTCACAGTTGTTCATTTGTTAAAAACAGAAAGTTATATTACTTATATTCCATTTTCTATGAGGGAATATTAAAAAAAATAAGGGAAAAATCTCCAGAATGTAGGGAAGAATTAATATTGTATTGATATTTCTCAAGCATGAGAAAATTGACAAATTGAATATCTTTTAATAGCCAGAATTGATGTGAATTTGTGTTTTGAGTTTTGATTTAATAACCCACTATTATTGATATTCACTGCGTCTGTTTTCTTGTAGAAAGAGAACATATAACAGGTACAGTATGTTTATGTTAGTTCTCTGAAAATACCAGTTTTATAGATAGATCTGAGTTGGATTTAATTCTTTCTTCAAATGTTAGCTAATGTGTTCATTGTGTAACTCTTTTCTTAAGGAAAGTGTTTATTCCAGTTAGAGATGTCATATAATAAAAATAATTTGTAAATAGATAACACAAATTAATCAGAACTAGCTGGGCTAATAAATGTTAAATGTTAATAATTAAATACAGGAGACTAAAATATTAAATATATTAATCTAAAATTACTTATATACTAATTTGTTACAATAATAAAATATAGAATACTACATTCTAAAGCGACTACTCATATTAAGACAATGTGAGATGTTACAGAATTTAAATAGATGTGCTAAAATATTGTTATAGATCTAAGCCAAGTACTAAATCTCTATTATGAAACTAACAGACTAATGTGTGGAATGATGAATTCTAAATAGGCTTTGCATAAGTCTAAAATACAAAATACATAGATATTATACAATATCAACTATTAAATGTTAAAAATTACTTCATTAACAGAAGGATAGTAATTATGGCAATTATATAGAAAATGTATTCCAGATGTTTTCTTTCTAAAAATGCTGGGTAGTTTCAGTGTTAATTTCTCAAATTGTAAAATGAGTTAGTGAAATTAACTATTTTGAATAAAAGAATATCTGAAATATTTCACCTGGTTTCAATCATCTTAGCTGTCAATATGAGCCCTCTGATATATTCTGATAGTAGAATAGAAACACGAGAGACCTTCTGTATAGTTAATAAAAACACTTTTTATATCTTGTATATATCCATTATTCAAGAATGGGGATACTCTGTAGTTCCATGGCTCAGTAGAATTGCACAGTTATATTTTAAGCTCTGTCAGCTTTTCATCGTCTCTATATCATACGATCTTTTAATAACCAGATTTTGGCAAGTGTGAACACTGTTTTTTAGAAGTGGGCAAGTTTTAAAGAGTAGAGACATACTGTTAATGTAAAGCATACATATCTTAATCAAAGTAGAGGAAGAAAAACAACAGTTTTTTGTTATTTGTATTCTTTTTTTCCCAGTCTGAAAATGTTAAAGACAAGTTTTAATTGATGCTCTTTGGTAATGGATAACTTTGGTAATGATGAGTTTCCCAAAAGCTATACAGGGAATAATTTGAATGTTATTCAGGTATTTAAGGGCTTGAGCTATCTTTTTCCAAAATTCCAAGATCAATATGAATATAGCATGCTGCTAAGTAGAGTTTTAGTCAGTATCTGCTGAATTATATGTGAATTATTCTGTACGCTTACAAATTGATACCCTTGCTTTGAATTCAGAACTATTGTATCACAAATCAACTAGTATTATAAATCTATAGAAGTAGGATAAATTGCATAAAAATTAGAAGTGTGAAAAGAAATATAATCTTTAATATGTCCCACATATAAATATTTGGCAGCTGGTAAATTTAAATACAAGTTTCCTACTTCATCTGAGGATAGGTAGAGTAGGATTAATTTTTTAGTTGGTGACATTTTCAGTAAAAAAGTTCAAAGACAGTGGCCCTAGTAAAGATCTTGGAGCCAAAGTGAACTGCTACCAGTCAAAGTAGAAAGTACTGAACTAGCATGGGTTTTGATTAAAGATAGTTTCATATATTTACAGCTATTTGAACTCTTAAAAATCTCTTTGGCAGGCAATGGATCATCAGATTCAAGATTACCATCTGTTCCTACACTTTCTTCTGTGCCTGAGGATTCTGCTTCAAACATGAGGTAACTTTTAAGTTTCTTCCAGCTGGCTATATCATATTCCAATTTATTTAAGTAATATGGAATTCACTCTACACTTCTGACTGGATTGTGCTCTTTCATTTGAGGCCTATAGGAAGTTTTGGATTTCTAGTACTACTATTTCCGTTGAAATAGTAATTAAACTCAGTGTGTTTAGCCACTGGCTTGTTGACTTTTGTTGATGCATTTTATACTTTTGCAGATTGCTTTCTTCTTAGATAATTTTTGCTCCTTAAATTATGTTTTTCATTGAACTTGTACATTTCTTAGTATTTCAGAGAGGCTTGAGCATGCTTTGGAAAAAGCTGCCCCTCTTCTGAGGGAGATATTTGTGGACTTTGCTCCTTTTCTTTCACGTACCCTTTTGGGTAGTCATGGTCAAGAACTACTGATAGAAGGTACAAGTAAGTTTCCCTTTTTTATCACCTTATAAATTAAGAACTGTAATATTTTAAATAAATATTTGACGATGGAAGCTAATTTAAAATTATTCTTTATATTGAATAAATTATTGAAATAATATTAATAGCTGAGTATTGCCACCAAACTATTTAGTGTTTATTTTAGGATTACATTCAGCTCATATAATTAGGATTAAAAAGCCACAAGATGATTTACTATACATGTGAAGGAACTGTACTTAGCTACACTGTCATATTCTATTCAATATTTATTATTATCTTACATATTGCTTGGTCATTTTTCTTATTCATCGTATCTTTTTTACCTATCCTTATAACCAACTACATCTTTTTCCTTCATTTCCCCTTAGAATATCATGCAGGTCAATGCAGGCATTTCTGAGTTAAGAATGTCCAATTTATGGACAACGTACATATATTTAACAATGGACTACTCTTATTAAAAACATCACACGGAGTTCTCATTCCTGAAGCCGAAAACTGCTGAAGCCATGCAGTGTTTTTTTTAATGAAATGCTGAATCTGGGAATTTTTAATATACAGTCTGTTTTCAGTGGTTCATAAAAACATTGTATGGCTTCAGTGGTTCATTGGGTAAAGACAACACTGCCCACCATTTTTATTACTTTGTTTATCCATAACATATATATCCTGCCCATCTTACCTGAGTGGCTCTGGGTGGTTTACAATACAATAAACGATTCACAATATAAAACATAAGTAACAAAGACATACATTAAGAAGTTGCTAAAAATATTAAAAGTTAAAGAATTAAAATGGCAGAAAAACACCTGTCACCCATGAAAAGAAGGACTAGGGGTGACATGATAGCAGTGTTCCAATATCTAAGGGATTGCCACAAAGAAGAGAGAATCAATCTATTCTCCAAAGCGTCTGAAGGCAGGACAAAAAGCAATGGATGGAAACTAATCACAGAGAGAACCAACCTAGATCTAAGAAGAAATTTCTTGACAAATGGAACAATTATTCAGTTGTTAATGCTCCAACACTGGATGTTTTTAAGAAGAAATTGGGCAATCATTTGTCTGAAATGGTATAGAATTTGCTGCTTGAGCTGGGGATTGGACTAGAAAACTCCAACCTCCCTTCCAACTCTGTTATTCTGTTATTAGTACCCCCACAGTTACGTAGCCTTGTCTAACTCTAGCTGAAGGCTAGAAGTGGGGGATGCCTCCCCTCGGGATGAAATGTTGCAAAGGCCATGGGCAATGGCAGAGAAGGATGTCTTCCAGAATTCAACCAATAGGAATTCTTTAACCAATAGGATTCGCAACATACCTTTCCTTCCTGACCAGGTGGGAGGGGACAGTAATTAGTATGAGATGGTTCCGCAGGTAACTTAGTCCCATGCCATGAAGGGATTTAAAGTTGATTACCAAAATCTTGAATTGGAGCTGGAACCAAACTGGCACTTGGTGCAGCTCACATAGCAAAGATGTTATATGTGCAACCCTATGGCACCCAAAATGTCTCACACTGCCATGTTCTGAACCAGTTACAACTTTAGATGCTCTTCAAGGGTAGCCCCATCTAGAGCCAATTACAATAGTTCATATGGAGGATGACCAGGGTATGAGTGACTGAAAGAAGGACTTCTTGATCCAGGAAAGTAGTGAAAAAGGTGAAGTTCAGTAAAAGTCCTCTTAGCCATGACTGCCACTCGGAACATTTGTATTGATTCAGCTGTAAACTTTAATTTTTGTTGATCACTCTATTTATTTGATATTGCCTTGTCAAGTAAATTATAAACATTTAAATTATATTCTTATCTTTCTGAAATAGCAAAGTGTCTTCCAGCATTTGATGTCTTTTTTACTACACTGTTAAACAGGATAATATAAGAGTCATTGTAAAATATAATCATCTGGGTATATCAGGTTTAGAAACTTGGGTAGGTTTATTAAACTATTACATTATTACTTTTGTTTATAAAAGGATTGAAAGTAAGTATTGTTAAGTAATTTATAGTATTGAAAGAATATAGACAACTATGTATAATTTCAGGAGAGTACATCAAAATGTGCGAGGGCAAGGCAGTTTTTAGAGAAACAATACAGGAAATGCAAACTAACCTTGAACATCTGAAACTGATTTACAGAAAGATTTAGCAAATAGAAGAACAGGCAGATGGTGGCTTTTTGTTGTGTACAATTCAAGTATTAGGGGTACAAATGATTTATGAATCAGACAATTTCATTTAAAAGGTTTGTTGCTCAAGCTTTGGTGCATTTTTCTTTCCTTTTCCCTCTTTGCATCATTTTTTTTTCTTTTCCCTCCCCCATTTCCTAGTTTTCTATTATTATTTTTTTGAATTTTCTCTTTGTATTTTATATTTTGATAAACCAATAAAGGGTTTTTTTAAAAAAAAGGTTTGTTGCTCACAGATTATCATATAATAATATTGTATATATTTCCATTCCTATATGTTGCCAATTTTTCATTTAAATGTTTAGGTTATATGAATTGTTTAGTAATATACAATATGTGAAGATAGATTTTCATGGGATGGGGTACAGTGGATGGTATCAGCTATTGTGCTATTACTTTTCCAGAAATATGGGTGTTTCTTATTTCAGAGGCGAACATCTCAAGACAATTGCAAATCTATTAAAAGTTTATAACATGTAAATGATAGAAACTAAAAATGATGATTAAAGTTCAGATAAAAATAGATTTTGACACATTTTCAATTCTGGTTAGTAGAATTGTGTTACCTTAGTGACATACTTACAGACTTTTAGGAAATATACCAGAAAATTGAGAGATTCTGCTTTCAGTATTAGTGTACTTGAAAAATGCCATTATAAAAGGTCATATAAACTGGGCAAACTAAATGGTGAATTCAGGGAAATACTTTAGCATATATTACAAATTTATGATTTTTAAAGAGTTTGATCATTATTATTAAGTGCATTATTAGTGGAATGATTCCTAAATTCAGTGGATGCATAAATAAAATGTTTTATCACATACACATACATTATGTTATATCTAATATAGAAGATATATAGAAACATTGAGTTAATAATTTAATACTTCAGCTAGTCTACCTATTTTTGTAACATATTAACTGTGTGATATTATGGCTTAGTAGTCCCCCCCCCCCCAGTGTAATTAATTAAGCCCAAAGGCAAACAGAATTAAACTTGGCATTGTGAAACATTGATTGCTGAAAAGAATGCCACCATTTTAGGGTTTTTAAAATAACGTGTTTTCATATTATACTAGGGAAATGGCATGAAGTGTGAACTGATATTAATAACCAAATTAGTTTATAAATGTATAGGTTACTCTTGTGCTCTCCACCTCCTTAAGGTTTAGGTGAGGGTCAAGGGTCAAAGTACTAATAAGAGGGCTTGGGATGTCTGCTGCCATGAAACAAAATGGAAACTTGATTGATAGCTGGAGGGGCTGAAGGGAGAGAACGCAATGGAGAAAGCAAAGGTCACAGAACCATTTCCCTTCTCTGCATATATAATGATCAATCCGTTCCAAGGTGAAGAAATGTAATATTATAAATCAATATACCATATGCCATACTTCGTTTTATTAACTTGAAACCCTAATATTTATATAATACTAATTAAATAGCTTCAGGTCATCATTTTATATTAAATTGTGCATTGCAGTAATTAAATTAGTGCATATATTTAAATACATATTCTCTCACATAAACAATTGGATAAACAATGAATATGTGAGATTCCTTGTATTAAATGAGAATTATTCTACAGAATAGGGACAATATTATCAAATCTCAAATAGAATGTTTATTATATAATAAAATTCCAATATTGTATATTAAATATATGAAAGTAAAGCCAATCAAAGTATGTAATTCCATTTCTTTTCTCCTTTAGGTCTTGTATGTATGAAATCTAGCAGTTCAGTTGTGGAATTGGTCATGCTGCTTTGTTCTCAGGTAGGTTTCAGCTGACTTTTAAACAGCTAGTATTGCCAATAAAACAAGCAAACAATCTAGCAATAAAAAAACATTTAGTTTTAGAGCTTTTGAAATTGTACTTCAGATCATTGATATTGATATTCTGGATTTAGTTTTAACCTCGGCAACTTGAGATCTATTTTTCCCCAACTATTTGTCTCCAAACTCCTATTTTTGTCACAATTTCATGTATTTTTCTTTCTGTTCAATGATATTAGCCTGAACATCATTATTGTAGCATTACTCAAACAAACCTGATTACAAAAGAGAGACTCAGAACAACAGCAGAGGTAGCTGCAATTTGGTGTCCATTATATTTTTCATTCCCAGCTCCAAGCCAATGTCTCTGCTGCCTTAAAATAACAGAAATTCTAGAATCTAGAAAAAATTATAAAAGTTTTTTATATAGTATATAAAACAATACATTAACAATATTATATTATCCAATGTGATCAAGATAGATAAATTTTGTGATTTATTATGTTTTATATTATTTTAATAAGAGGCATATTTTTATCCAATAATATATTTAACAAGGAAAATACAAAACTATGGATGCTAACATATAATGTAAAGTAATATAGCTGCATTGGAATTAATGGGATTTGATCTTTGCCCTTTTAAAAAGGATTTAAACTACATGGGGCCTCATACTAATTCCTCTTGACATAGGTTCTATGAAAAATGTAAAATGCTATTAGTAATATGAATAACGTCATATTTTTTACTATTGTAGAAAGAAGTGTTGCAATTAATTGTGATTTCCAAAAAATATAATCAAAAAAATTAGATACATCAACAAATTATAAATATGTAATAGATCAAATGGAAAGTTTTTATAAAGCTTTTTTGTTTTGGCCTTTATAAATCACATCTTTACTGATAGTAAATTCCCCTACTTAAAACTTTAAAATAGCTTTTTTTAATGGGAATGTTATTGGTCTAGAGGTCAAGGGTTTTGACCCATTTCAGAACCTTTGACCTTCATTTAAAGCCCTTATGGTTTACTTGCCTGACGAATAAGGATAATGCAAAATTAATGTTTATTTTACATTGATTTATTTGTTTTAGTGCCTGTATTGCCAAATGTATTTAGTCTGTGCTGATAGACATTTCATGAATACAAATGAAAGAATCATAGAAGGTGTGAAAAATCAATAACTTGCATTGACAATAAAGTGCAATAAAAACAATTACTTTTGGAGATTACAGCTAATGGATTTTTACAATGAACTAGTGAAGAATAGTTTTGTTTCTAGTGAGTCTGTTATTCAGTAATGCACTCAAACATGTTAGGACTATTTACATTGTTTCTAGAAATGCACATAAGGAACTGGGTGCTATACAATTTTAGGTAGGTAAATACGTAGGTAGGTAGGTAGGTAGGTAGGTAGATTTCTAAGGCAGAATATTTTAAAATAGTGATTTTTGAAAAGGAAGGAACTTTATTTGTTTAATACGTTCTTTGAAACATTGATAAACATGTAAAAGTACTATTAACTGAGAGAATAGTTAAAACTTTATTGTTTAGCACACACAATACACAAACCTATCACATGCACTAATATAAAATATACATAACTATGAATACATATGAGTGATATCAAGAATATGGAGATTGGCAAAAAATCAATGTATTGAAATATTTAATAATTAAGGAAAGATAATTCAACAAAATATGTATATTATTACTAAAAGTCTATAAGATTGTTAATTGTGTTGAATATGAAGGGTATTGTTTTATTTGTACTAAAATGTAACTGGTTCCACACTGTTCACACAAAGATCTGTTTGTAGAAAAAAAAACTTTAAAAAAACTAGGAATACATATGAAAATTACTTGTATCAGAATTATTTCTATTGTTCTATGATTCAACATGGAATAAATAATATACTCTAATGTCTCTAAGGTGGCTCAGTGGCTAAGGCTCTGAGCTTGTTGATCAGAAATGTCAGTAGTTCGGCGGTTCGAATCCCTAGCGCCGCATAACGGAGTGAGCTCTAGTTACTTGTGCCAGCTGCTGCCAACCAAGCAGTTCAAAAGCATGTAAAAATGCAAGTAGAAAAATAGGGACTACATTTGGTGGGAAGGTAACAGTGTTCTGTCCACTTTCAGCATTTAGTCATGCTGGCCACATGATCATAGAGATGTCTTTGGACAGCGCTGTCTCTTTGGCTTTGAAACAGAGATGAGCACCACCCCCTAGAGTCGGGAACAATTAGCACATATGTGCAAGGGGAACCTTTACCTTTAATGACTCTGTTTTTTATTCATATTCTTTATGTCCTGTTATTGAATAGAATATGGTAATGAATTAATTGAGATGATGACAATAAAATATGTTGTTTTGTATTAAATAGTTGAAAAAAGAATACAGTAAACAGAAATGATATCCTGGTTGAAAAGAGTAGCTGTAACACAAAAAAAAATCCAAGAAATGAAACTGAAAGGATCTCAAGAGTATAAAGATTTAAACTTGGGTGATAATTACATATTTTTTCTCTGATTTTTTTCTAATTTAGAGAGGTTAGTATTGCAATTAGAGAAACAATCTATTTTTTAAAGAGAAAAACTCTGTTACCATAGGAAGCCTGAGACATCAAAATTGAATTTCAGCCCGACATTTTATAAATACTATGAAGGGATGGGGTTGAGCTTGATTGATTTTTTTCTTTTCAAATAAGATGGAAAATGAAGTGACCCTCTTGCTAAAATTTTAATTATTTTTTAAGAAGAGATGGAGAGGATAGGGGGGCCAAAGATCAAAAGATCAGGTCAGAAACTAGGTTTAATCACATAAATAATACAATACAGTTAAACATACGCATCTGTAAATGTGATTTTAAAATTTTATGGATTGGCAGACATAATGTCACATTAAAGCACTGCTATGATTAATTTCTATCATGATATATTATTATTAAAATTATTTTCTGTAATCATGCAGAAATTAAGTTGTACAAATGCAAATTGTATACAAAAAGTATATTAAGAGTAATACACTGATATTTTTAAAAAATAAAAAAGTAATTATATTTTTTTAAAAAACGTTTATTGCAATGCAATAAAAATCCAGGCATTATTTTGCTGCTACTTATTTTCTAAACACTCTGAGTGCCTTAGCTCTTTTCCCCCATAGTATACACAAAATGTCAAATTATTTGAAATACTATTGTTTATTCTCCCTGTCAATTTCATCAGATGTCCACATTTGTCTTAAAGTCCTCAGGACATTTTTAATTGATACTGCATTCTGAGGTCAAATATCAATGCTGTTTAACAGCATAAAGGGATTCTGCATTTAGTATTAACTGAAGAATGTACTTGCTTACTTGACATTAATATCATTTTTTGAAAGAATCCATGTTACATTCAAGGCTACTTTATAAAAGCATTGGCTTGCTCATCCTAATTCAGTCTGACATATATTCCAATAACACTACCTCCCCTCTAGAGTTTAACGCTAAATTTATTGCTGAGCATTGTGAAGTGCATCATTTAAAAATGGTTTCAACCCAAAACATCTAATAAATAAATAATGTGTGTGGCTACTCAATAGTAGACATTCAAGACTAGAAATCATTCCATCGGATACTCAACCGTCCACTATCGTAGAGGGCTGTCAGATAAATCTTATAGTAGCTGCATTTATGTCCTGTAAATCACATGTTATTGTCTGAGCCTTCTGCCAGGTCATCTATTCTTTTCCCATTTATCAGAAATGCATACAGTACATTGAAGCTCAATGCACCATCTAGTCTGGCTTCCTGTCCAAGTAATTATACCAACCGAAAGTGTGAAATTCTCAGCCAGATGCTCCTTTTGAGTGTATCATGTCCAGAATTTATGTAGCGCTATTTCTGTCCTAGTCCAGAATGCTTTTTATTTAAAAGGTCTTATGAAATGTTACTTGAATAAGAACAATTTTAAGTTGCATGCATACAGATATGCACAAGTGAAAACTTTCGTAAGTTGTTAGTTTATCAAATATGTTTCCTTTAATTCATTTTACAACAAATGAAAAATGTAGCATTTTGAGTACAAAAATTAAAAGAAATTGTCTTGAAAGTTTCATATGTTGCTGATAGCTGTTTTTTAAGTTTATGTTTGCAAATCAGGTCCTAGAAATTGTCCAGTAAAATTATACATTTTGAAAAGTTCCTTTACTTTTATCTGTTTACATATTCCTGAACATAACAATGGTTACCTTCAGAATACTTTGGAATAGTGAGCAAAGTATTAGGAGAGAGCCCTTTAAATATTATGCAAACTGAAAGAAAAAAAAATGTATTGCTTTTTTGCATTAGATTATATGCATCCTGTAGTCAGATTTCTATTTCTCTAAGCAGTATTCTTTATTTACTTGTGATCTTTTATTTTATTGTGTAGCTTTGTGATAAATAAAAATTCATAAATGATTCTAGAAACAACAATAAGCAAAATTCTTTGACCAAGAAAAATAACTTTGATTTGGTTTATAAATTATTTGATTGATTTAATTGCTGCAAAGATCCACAATTGTGCGTAGTTCTTAAATGAATCAGAAAAACTTCAATTACACCAGTGGACTTTGGATTTAATTACAGTAGCACAAAATGTCTGTTCCCCTTTTACAGTACGAAAATTTGTTTATCAGTCTAAATGCATGAAGTTAGCAATAGGAGATATAATTATTTTTAAAACATTTAAAATGTCAATTAAAATAAAAATTCTATTTTATTTATGGTATAGAGAGTTTAATAGAGTTTGAACTTATAGAACTGCTTTTAACAATGGTTCTCTGTGTCAACCTCTGTGAATTCATATCAATTGGTTCTGTTTGTAGAACATTCCACAGTCTGGTGGTTTTGATCCAAACACTGCCACCTTTATAATTGCCTAATCTTAAAATCAGCATAAACATTCTTAGAATCAACAAATGTTATATGACACTGAAAAAGGGCATACAATGCCTAAAGAATGTAAGGATCATTCCAAC